TAGCATTGCACAAGTACCATTTAATAATTCGATTTATCCATCTGCTGCCTCTCATTCTTGCGAATATTTGTACACTGCTTTGATGATATCGCTAAAGCCAGACCGCAACCGAACATTTTATTGAATTGTGTTGCAATTTGTTGAGACCTATCAGGACATTTTATACTCATTTCTCAAGACTTTTTTTAATCACTGTAGATCGATTACCACTGGTGATAAGCTGTTTTTGGGTTCGTTGTTGGCCAGCTTTCATACACACCTCTTGGGATCTAACGCTGCGCGATATGTATTTGTCGTGCAGTGGGAATTTTGTTTTTTCTTTTTTTCTTGCTAGCGCAAGAAATATTTTTTGCTTTGTTTTGGTCGCTTGGTGGGCTTGACTTTGTCTTGAATAGCTTCATGCCGCAGTTGGATTTTTCCACCGCTAATATTTTGCAGATTCTTCCGGAGGATGCGCTGAAGACAGTCGTATTTCGGTAACGACATCGATGATTTGCCCGGTTTTGCTCAAATGTGATGTGAAGAGCTCGAGTGGCGATAGATGTATCATGCTCGCCTCATTCAAACTTTAGGTTTTGTTCTGTTACCTTTTTTATTTGTTCAGAATGATTAGTGGATGTTGTATTGGAGTTCCAGTTCTGCTTGTTTGTTGAACAGTTTCATTTCGTCAAGCGAATTCGCGCCACGTACGATACCATTTGCTTAACGGTGAAACTTCTCTTACTAGAACTACGAACAAGCAATTTTGAGTTTAACAAATACAAATTTCATACGAACTTGCAGAGCAATGTTCTCTAATTGTTGCAGCGACTTCCCAATCGAAATTTAGAGGATTGCATTGTAGTTAAAATCAGTGCGATTTGTTCCGCTTGAATTAAGGCAAAAAAGAAAAAAATTGCCAGCATACTTCAGTAGATCCTAATTGTCGATTCTGATTAATGAGCAAACATGGAGTCCCGAGCGTGAAAGAGTACTGGGTTTTGTCCGGTTACCACAAAATTAGCGCTGTGCAGGTAATTTGGGTATGACATACATTCAACGATATGATGCCAAAGCACAGCTGTTGTGCTCAGCGTCTTTCAGAGTTCCTCTCGGTACTACCC